ATCGCAGGTCCCAGAAATTTGCTGTGGTGCTAGGCAATTGGCTAAGAAAAGTATTTTCCAGGGTGTCTCCCAAACATGTTCCTCATTGCTACGTGCTGCAGGCAGCTAGATTTTCCGTCTAGTTATGAACTATAAAGTAGCAGAGGGGCTCTTGTTGGGTACAGCTTGTACCCGCTGGGTACAGCTTATCCAGCTTGGAGAGAGGCTGAGTGGAACTGATAAGGACAGACTCAGGGCACTTGGGTGGAAAGAATGCCACCAGATGAGATTTTTGTGTCTGGCTGGACCTCTGCAGGTGGCACTGCTGTTTTTTAATTGGATGAATAGAGGAGTGCCTTTCTAGAAAGGCTTGAAGGAGACCTAGGGTAGTCTTAGTCCATTGTCAGAAGATACTTCAGCAAATTTAAAATACCTGTCTTGTAAACCAGCGCAAATCAGCAAAACAGAACAGGGAAGCAAGGCCCTTCCTCAGCCCTTCCTCCCCATCCCTGCTGCTGAGGACATAGAGGACAGAAACTAACTGCCTCGTCTCTGAAAGAAAACTGCACTGAACAGAGAAAGTCCAAGAGTATTTATATGCATGAAAATCATACACCGATTCATAACATTACAGTTCTAGTGTGCACAAATGTTAAAACAGGATGCTCTCTAGTTGTGAAGATTCTTTTTGTCTCTTAGGTCAAAAAATTCCAGATTTATTTAGAATTACAAAATAGAAAATCAAAGAAGATCCTGAAATTAATTATTTCTTTATGAGTACTTGTTAATTTAATTCGTAATTAAGATGCAGTGCAAAAAGATTTTACTCTCTACCTACATCATTTATTTATTAAAGGCTGTTTGACTAGTTAAAAAGGATATAGCAAAACCGTTTATATGGTCACAGTTTTATAATTCTTTATGGGTAACATGCCTTGACTGGCAAGATCATTGTATCTTATCCAAACAATATGAAATCAGTTGTTCATCATCTTTTGGAAGATGGTGCTTCCTTTTCTTTATAGAGAACCGTTCTGAGCAGAAAAAGAAAAGCTCATTGTAATTTATAAATAAAAGCCAGATATTTTCTGCATGGATCATTGTATTTAGATGCAAATGTAGCCTTTGGATCATGCTCCATTAGATATACACAGTAGTGTTTCTGAAAGGATATTGCTGATTAGCCAGTATTTCTTCAATATTCAATTTATATAATATGAATTAAAAAGGCAGCTCTACAACACTTCAGCCAATATTGTGGTGTTCTCGGCATTTAAACAAATTCAGTTTGTGTACTCTACTGAGTCCCTAAAATGGAAAAATCTATGTTATGCATATATACTAGAGGCACACTATTCACTATATGTAGTTGCCTTTCATTTATACCAGAAATTAATTTTAGAGTTATCTGGAATGGTAAAGCTCATTCTCTTTGCCAGTTAATTGCTACACTAGCTTATGCTTCACACCATACGGAAACACCCTTTTAAATATGCAAAGAAAAAAAGCTAAAAATAAATCACAGCTGCTGTTAGTTGGGGGTCTAAAGATACAGCCAAGGCAGAAAAAAGGGAACTGTCTTGGTTTAAATGCAACTAAACTGCTTTTAATATTGAGAAGTTCTTTTTCTGTTCTCCAAATCAATATTCATTAATAGTATCCAGAACAGAGAACCTTTACTATAAAAACCTGAGATAACAGTAGTAATTACAACATGCATTTTCATAGCTGTAATATTTTCCTACTCTCAGTTACGTTAATGCCTACTGTAATAATTTGTATCTGGCTCATAAGGACCAACTTATATCAACACATGTTTCTTACTGGTAAGTTCACTTAAAGTTTGAACCAATATCTAATTTGCAACAATATAAACATCTATAGGTAGAAATGAGTTTTATCTTTGCAGCAGTGATTTCTCCTGACCACCAAGGGTAGCTTGACCTCACCCGCACAAGATAAAGCGAATATATTGAGCCCTGACACATTATGTCTGATTTCCTATAACTATCAAAGTACAAATCTGAGAAACATTTTATTATATCATACCTGTTATCCAAAGCAGAACCATGATGGAAATTGCCCTTTTTCTGCATAATCAGTTATTTTTCATAATGTCTATCTCACCACAAAAGCAATCTTTTTTCTGGTGTCAGATTTTCTGTGGATACACATGGCACAGAAGTGTTAGCGAGCAAGGGGAAGGTAAAATCCTTTCACTTCCAATCTCCATCTTCAACTACCAAAGAACTGCAATATTTCCCCGCTTTGGGGGGGGGGGGGGGGGAGCTGTCAACCAAGGAGCAGTCGAACCTCCATTTCACAGGCACCTTTTTGCGATGACTTTCCATCCTCTCCTGCAACAAGAGCAAATAATGTTATGAACCTCACAAGCGCGGGCAGTGGTGCTGGCTCTTGACGACCCCCTCAGCCTGGTCGCTTCTTGCTGCAAGCAAAATGAAAGGATGGGGATGCATAGCTGTGGCCCTGGGCACGACAGCTTCTCGTGACAGCAGTGTAAGCACACACTGGTTTTCACTGGTTGTAAAAGTGGCCTCGGTAATGTTGTCGAGTTGTCTGTAGGACCGCGTAAGCTGATCTGACAGAAATGATCTCACTAAAAAAGGATTACTTTTGCTTCTGGTAGGTTCCCCAGCCCATTGGATGACCTGCTCTGCCTGTGCAGTGGTGACACTGCTGCAGGGACAGTGGCTAAAACTGAGAGGAAGAAATGGGAACTGCTTGAGCCAGCCTTGCCACTGAGAAAATGGTATGCGACACCATGCCCTCAGTCATCTTACTCTTTCCGATTCTCTTTCCCAAGCTGTTTCTTCAGAATTAGCTAATACTGTTGCAAAACCCTAGTAGGTAGAAGAAGAGAGAACTGTTGCATAGAGAACTGCAGCTGGGAAAATACGCTCTGGAAATCGTTCTAGCAGCTAAAGAAGGGCAGCAGCACATTTTCAGATTAATGAAAAATGCGTGCAGGATCATCACTTGGACAACCTGGTAATAATAGAAGAGAATCCCAAGAAAATACCTGCTCAGGCTCTTCTTTAAGTTAATAACAAAACTTCTATTAGGAGTAGCTTCCATCCGGTAAAATCACACTGCTACATATAGTGAATAGAATTTCTAAAATATTCAGTTTTATGTTAGTTCAAAAATTTTATGTGCTTGGAGACATCTTCAAAGCAGAATTGTCTGCTTCCAATAGAAAGACGTGATTAATTATACCCCCAACAATTGAGACAGCCTACAACCTAAAGCTGGCAGCAGGAAGAGAGATTCAAGACCTGAAAGACTCATGCGCAAAAAATGTCCATTATATTACTGAAATTATAAAAGATTACTTGTTAGTAAAGTCCTACAAGATGCATATCTGACTGTCAAATGAGAAAGTTGAAGCTGGAGCGCATGAAGAAATTTGATGTATTCACTATCAGATTTACCTTTCATACCGAAGAGCAGGATGAGGTTGTTGGCCAGCTTTGTATCTCCTGTGAATAGACACCTACAACTAAAGCTAGTTGCCAGCTGAGCTGACTGCATCAAAATCCTTCATGCTTTCGGCCAGATCCCAGTGATTGAATTCCCAAGCTAGCCTCTATCCCATATTCCTCCTTACTTAGCAAGTACTTGTCTCATCTCTTTGCAGCACAATTATTTTTTTATTACTGCCTTTGGAGTACGATTATTTTGGAGTGCTGCATTCCCCACTGCGGAAGCTGGTGCTGTGTCACCCTGTGTCACTTCTCTTATAAACCCTTCTCATCACGTCCTCTCACGAACAGGGTTGCAGGGAAACAGTGCCCTGGAGAGGGGAAATAAAGAAATTGTGTCAAAAAGCGCTGAAATAAACTTCTACTGAGGCTGCTTCCCTATTCTAGAAACAGGACTTCTCCCTTGGACAGATGGTGCAAGACACCTTTTGCAGGAAAGTGGGGTTGCTGATGTTCATTTTGGGCTCTGCCCGCCCAGCCCATAGGGCTCTGCAGTCCCTTCCCCCTCCGTGGAGTATGCACGGATCTGCCACAGCCACGTAACCTGGATCCAGCGGCAGCAAAAACAGCTCAGTTGTGAAACCTGTGACCTGCCTCCCCGCTACAGACTCATGTGGCGATCCCAGGGCTGAGGCTGACCCTGGACACCGTCACCAGCCCTACCGGCCCGGTATCACCCTCTGCTCCCGCTGGCCTGCCCTCGCGGAGAGCCCCCTTCCGCTGCTCCCTGGCAGTGCCCTTCCCTCCCTTTCCCTGCACGACCGCTTCGGACTCCGTGCTCCGAAAAGGCAAGTGTTGCTATCCATTTCAGACGGTTTCAGTAAATACAACACTGATTCTCTTGCTGGAGTTCTTCGCCTCCTTCACAGCCAGAATTGGCATCAGTTACCAACTGTGATGGTTGCTCATTTAAGATTCATACTTACTACTACCGGAAAATGAATGCTAAAAGTCTTGCTCTGGCAGACATCAAGCATAGCTTGAAAGCATATGTGCAGCTTGTTCCAGAGACTCCTCCACAACGACAGCAAATGGTTTTATTCCATCTTTAAGGGTTTTCTTCATCCAAGGCACTGTGCAAGCCATGACAAATGAGTCACTTTTTAACAAACAATTTGTATCAATTAACGATACTTCACTTCATACTGACAGGCCTCAGGGCTCCACTAGTTATGTGATATTTTTTAATTATGCCTCCAGATGTATTCAGTCTTCTCTGATGGGAAGCAATGACTATCGGGACAGGTGTTTCTCTCATTTGCCTTTCTTGAAGCCATTCTGCCAAATGGCAGAATAAGCACGACTGCCAGTAGTCTCCTTCAAGCTACCATGAAGTCACTGCAGGACCTACCCCAGTTCCAGTGTCCGAGTCAGCCAAACCACTTACAAGAGTCCCACTGCTGAACATACCCAGCCATTCATGTCCGGACTAGTGTTACAGTACCCCAGGTCAGGCACTTCGTATTTTGGAGGTCATATTCTGGTGCTCCTTGTACGGAGATGAGCATTGCAATCTGCACAGTTTGTCCTAATCCTTAGCCTCACTTCTTAGCCCTCCAATGTGATGAACTGGTGCACTCTGACTACATGGTCTCCTCACTTTGGACCCTTGCAGTCATCACCAGTCCCGGCTTTAATGATAAAAATGCAGTAAATTGGTTTTCTTTTCAGGCTGCGTAGTTAACACGAAAAGGGATTCAAATGAGGGATATAAAACTTAGGTAAAGACATAACAGGATGGGACAAGAACCTTAGAGGACAGCGGCAGCTGGGGCAGGCCACGTCATGGAGATCATCGAGGAGAGGGAGAGGGTACAGCTGATGCAGGCTGTAACCTCTGCGGATGCTCTGTGCTCACCAGTTCCTGGGGACAGGCACATAAGCACAGACTGTTGTTCCTTCACTGCAGAAAAAAAGTATTGCAGTGGAAATATGGATTGCCAGGCCCTGTTCCCTGCACCCACAGGCAAACATGTTGTACAATTCTTTCTATGAACTTAATGTACACTGTCTTAACAACTCTTGCTTTATGCCCTTTTTAGCATGCTTGGATGGCTGTTCCAGAGAGCACTATTTTAGAAAACAGGAACAGCTTCTATTTTCCATCCTATCTGTATCTAACATGCAAACGTTGGCTTGTGCCAACATTGTCCTTTCTCTAAAATGTTCCTGCTCCCTCACCATGGTGTAATTATAGCTAACATATGTATTTCCCCCTTAGCCTTCCCTGTTTTTAGAACGATCAAGCTAATGGCTACCAGCCTTCCCTCAAAACGGACTGCCCGTTCTCCTGCCCTCTCAGGGCCTGGTTCACTTACTCACTGTTATGGTGAACGAGCAGACTGGTAGGCTGTATTCTTTATATGTCCTCATCAATGCAAACACTTCCTAGAATCTCATTTGCCTTTTACATGATTGCCTCCCATGGTGGTTCATAGTCATTCTTTGATCAGCCAGCACACATGCGTCTTCCTCTCCGACTGACAACATTAAGGTCCTTATTTATGGAGAGTATTTGTCATTATCAAATATATAGTCTTTTATTTTATTTTATTGAAATTCATCCCTTCTCCATGAAAGCAGCAAATTTCATCAACACTGCTCCTGTTTATTGCACTGAAGTCATTAACGAAAATATTAAAGAAGGTAGGTCTTAAGACTGAGAAATTTCCACTACTAACATCTCCTGATTTCATATTTTGCAGTCAACACTTCTCTGTTTCTGGTCCCTACAACACTGCAGACCCAATGTGAGAAGTACTGACTGAAGGGCTTCTGCACACAGAGCATTATCATTATCTGCATGGAGCTGTACAAAGGCGGCAATACCAGCCCAAAGAGATTGCAGTCAAGATGTGGCAGGTGGCTACTTTGTTAGAAGCCAGTGATGGATTAGTTTGATGCTGACTAGAAAACCACTGATATAACGGTGGTGGAAGTTTGTGAGGTTATTGACAATGTGTGGTGGCTGCAAAACGGTCTGTCACGGGAGGCCCAGGAGGGGCAGCTGAGCCGACCGCAGAGCACCCCCACCCACGCTCGGGTCCCCACAGCGCTCCACGCTACGGGAGCGGTTCGGTGGCGGCACGGGTGTCCCTGTCGCTTATGAACGGGTTCACAATTAACGGCCGGAAACAGATAACGAAGTTTAATATGTATCACTGGCAACAATAACAATTAAAAGCCAGTGATAACAACGACAACAATAGTAACAATACCCCTTTAATCAGCCAGTAACCACACACTGAACTCCCCACACAGGGTGGCAGGTGGGTGCTGCTTCAAGCCCCAGGGCTCCCGAGCAGGCCGCACCGGGCGCGGGGTGCTGCCGCCACACGCGCTCTGCAGCGAGCAGGGCACAGCCGAGCTGGTGTGCCGCTTTGGTCACTGCTCTCCGGAGCGGGGAGTACTCAGGTGTCCGCCGGTGTTAGCAGCGGTGGGGGGGGATCCCCAGCTGCCTGACCCAGCGTCCCGGATCGGGGTCATGGCGGCGCTGGCTGCCCGCAGCCTGCTGGGGCGGAGAGCTTCCCTCGGTGGGGCGGGGGGAGCCTTGGACAAGGCTGCCTGGCATCTTCGAACCTCGGAAAAGGCCGCCGAGACTGCTTCTTCCCCAGCCACTTCAGTGATTTCAGCTCTCGGCGGTTCCTTGTTCTTCGACGCTGCCGCTTCTTCAGTGATTTCAGCTCTTTCCTTCTCTCTGCTGCTGCCACCAAAGCCGCTGCTGGGCTGGCGTGTCCCCTTTTATCCCTGTCCCAATTTGGGACCGCAGACAAGTGCTTGGTTAAATTTGTCTAGACCCCCGCTCTTAGTGGTCTGGTTTCGATCCCTAATTTCAATGTGCAGTGTTTGCAGATGGCCGCCTTCCTTCTGGAATATTCTACGTGACTGACTGGTCCGGGCTGCTAGGGTACATGTTAGCTCTCCGCTAATGATCTTGGATTGCGGCAGTGGGGCATTACAAAGGACAGGGTGGTTGGCACCTTACACCCATTGTTCAGTAAAAACCTATTTTCCTGACTTCTCCCCTCAACCAAACCTCTCCATGACACGGTCGATTTTCCTGTCACGTCTGCAGTGACATCTGGCTTTAAGAGAACAGAGCTTCAGAGTGCCACTAACGGCATTCGTAAATGTTTCTCTCCATGGAGATGTACGCTAGAAACGGTATGCACACTTTTGCGCTCTAGAGACTCTGTGGACACGTCCATGGGAAAGAATAATATTGAACCATTAAGGTTGGTTTGGTCGACCAGGAGGGCAGATTTGGCCGCTTCTATGCTGGTGGATTCAAGCGAGCTCAGCATGCCTGCATGTATCTATTCTAGTAAGCTGTGAGACTGTTCCCTGGAACACTCTTGGCCCATCGCAGCTAGCACACTTCCTGAATAATTCCTGGGCACAGTCAGAGTGGCGTAGGTGGTTTGCATGCACCAAACCTGTTTTGGAGGATGAGACAATTTATTAGCATAGAATAGCATATAAGCTATCCAATGCCAGTTGGCCTCAGAACCTGGGAACGTTCCTGGGAACAACTAATTTATTGTTATAGACATAGCCTTTGTGAACACCCCTGTGGGATACCTTGGCAAAGTGCATGTTACTAGAGAGCTATACAGACCATATCTATTCGAATACGAAAGCATCTTTTTCCCTTTAAAAAATATGGGTACTTGCTATTATTTCAGGAGAGTTCAGTGTACCCGCTACTGTCCTGGCTTAGGAGGCCATTTCCTGCTATGAGAGCACCTGGTAGGAGCAGGATCAGTTGTGCACTGAGCTTTCGCTCAATGGAAGCAGAACTTGAATAAGCAAGCTGACAGCAAAATGGTATGGTCTGTAACCCAGCTCAGGTGCCAGGATACCCAGCGTTCTTTGAAGTAGTAGGGTAGGAGGTAAATGGCACAACATTTGAAGGATAATGTGAGAAGCCACCACGAGTGGGCTTAGAACACCATCAGTTTGCAGGCCTGGCACAGACAACTAAAAAGCTCATCTGTCATCATTGGGAGCAGTCCAAAAGAGGTAGGCACTGAAAGTGCTTTGTGTGCTGCAGCTTCCCATGGCAAGAGGCAGTGCCCAGGGAAATAGCGTGAGGAAATGTGGTGCTGCATTACGTTGTCATGTCCATGCCAACTGGCAACTGCTTACTGCTTTATGTAATTTAGAAATCTATTAAAAGTCTGGATGAACCTTCCTGTTGCG